TTATTATGATTCCCTTTATTATTAATGTCTTTATTAGAAGTGTTTCTAAATTGAATTTCGATTAATTCTATAATTAATATAATATTACATGAACTTAAGCAAATCATATATCGAAATAAATCTGAACCTTTCATTGGTAATATGGAGTTAAAATAAACATATTAATGATTATTTTCTATGATTTATGAGAATGGAATAAATCCACAAAGTGATAAATTATTATAAATCTTCTAAGAGGCCATAGTGGATTGAGAAACTAAAATATTCTAGGATTCCATCATATTCTATTATTATATATTAAAAATACTAATTAATTAAAAACATAAATATTAGAATTTTGCTTAAAAATTAATATACTATGAATGAAAATCAAGAATAATATGGCATTTTACTCTTAATATATTACTAATTTAACATTCCTTCCAAATAGATACTTTTATATATTATATTCTTATAACTTTTAATTTAATAGAATTAGAGTAATTAAAAAAAAAATAATTAACTGAAAAATTATTTTGTGATTTTAGTCAGAATTTTTCAAAAAAAATTCTAAAGTTTATATTAGATATTGATTAATATTCTATAATTTGTCTTTAATATATTTTGATTCCAATAAAATAAATTTATATGTTTTAGCTTGTTGTTTTTTAAAATTTGATTTGATAATGTTTAATAAATTTATCACATATGTAAGATTTATCACAAATTAAGTTTTTGAGTAATAACATAAAACATCTAAAAATAATTGAAAGAATTCTCATATACAAAAATATCATAAAATAAATTATATAAGATGTTATAAGCAATAAAAAAGGGTTTTTAAAAGTTAGATATGTTTGGTCAAACAATAACCCTCAATATGAATAGAAATGACCTTTATACAACATCTTTTGGAGGATTTTCTTCTATTCTAATAATATGCCTCTTAAGTCTAATATTTTATTCTAATATCATATCATTCTTTTAAAAACAAAATATATATCATGGAAATGAAGTTGTTTTTTCAAATGATCCTGGTATAATTGAGATGGATGAAAAAAATTCAATGATTGCAATTTCAATAGATTAACCTAATTTTACTACAAATCCATTCTTTCAAATTTCTTTAGAATAAAGGTAATCAAATTTACATAAACATTCTTAGAATCTATAGTAGAAATTTAAATGGTACAATAGAAAAATCATCTATAGAAATCCCTTTAAAACCATGTACATTAGATCGTTTTAATAATATTTTTTCTGATGAAGGAATAAATTTTACAGATTAATTCAATTTCTAAGGAATTGGAAATATGTTATGCCCAATGTAATTGAATTGAATTATAAGGTTCAAGAGATAATTTTAAATATCATCTTTAAGGTACATATTCGAGCTAAATTTTTAAATTTTTAAAAATAAGTGTAAAAAGTTGCAAGAGTTCAGATATAATCAATAATAATTTTGAGTGGAATCCTATTTGTGCATCTGACTAAGATAGATAAAATTACTTAAACGAAAACAGTTAATTTAAATTGTAAATAATTTAAATTAATACTGTTATAAATCCATAAAATCCTGAAAATTACAAAACTATTTATATTGATAGCGACATGTATTTTCCCTTTGTTCCCCATAAATTAGCTAGATTAGCTAATATATTTTATAGATAGGTCAATATAAATAATGATAATAGTTTATTACCATTTGAGTAAATAAAAATCATAATTTATTTAGGAAAGTAGATAAAGAAGAAATTATAATGAGGAAAGCAGAAGATTATCGTGATTTAACTGAATTAGGAAGAGATACAGATGATAATTATGCAATTGTATATTTAAGAAGAAGTCCTTTTACAGAGATTGTTAATAGAAGATTTTAAAAAATAGGTGAACTACTTTCTTATTTAGGTGGATTTATGTAAATTATGAAAGTTCTATTTGGTTTTTTGATAGCCTTTTATAATAGAACATCTATGCTTATTGAGTTGGCAAATAAATTATATGATTTTAAAGAAGAAAAAGATGTCAAAAAATTAAGAACAATTAACACTGTCTAATATATAGAATAAATTTCATCTCCTATTGATGTATTTTAAATAAATGGAAATTAATTAAATTAAAATCATGATCTTTCAAATATTGAATGGAAGGATTATTTAAGTAAATTAGTTTAAAAATCTGACTCTATTAAATTTAATTTTAAATTATTCATTAATCAATTAACATTTGGATTTTGTTTTAAAGATAAAAATTCTAAATTCTTATAAAAAGCTATGTAAATATATTTATTTTATTTGTTTAGTGAAAAGATAAATAATGAATTGGATCTGCATACAATATTTTATTAATTACATGAGATAAATAAATTAAAACAAGTTTTGTTAAGAAAATCATAAATAATTTTATTTAATTTTTCACCTAAACCTATCATCACTTTAGGCATAGATTAGGCTGTTCCTTCAAGACTCACAATTAAAGATAGTAGTCACTTATCCCACATATAGAAAACTGAAGAAGAATTTATAAATGAAGAATTGTTTTCTAAATTACAATAAGTAATTTATAAACCATATGTAGGCATACAAAGAAATATTAAATGAAATAAATTAAAATCCTTCTAATTTATGTTAAATGAATATCAATCTAAAATTAACTCAACTTATTGGATAGGATTTTATGAAATTAATTCTACCTTTTTAATAAAGGAGAAATGGTTTTAAATTATTAGATTCAAATTTAAATTAAGAAACTGAATTATGAAAAATCATATATTAAAGACTCTATTTATTTAGAAGTATGTCTTGATAATAATTTTATAATAATAATATATCATTTCTTATAAAATATTCTAAACTTAATAAAATAGGATTTATTTATTTATAGTAGTCTTACATCATTCATATTACTAATACATAGTCTTTAAATTTTAGATATTAAATTCAATGTATCATCTTATATTAAACAATAGTCTTGTAAAATAGTAAGAAATTTCTATTTTTTTTTTTAGAAAACTTTGATTTAGGATTTTCCTATATTATATTATAATAAACAATAAAGATGCTATATTCCATTCAGAAAGGACTGAAGAGAATAGATATATTTGGTCAAACCATTACTCTTAATATGAACAAGAATGCCTATTACACAACTTCATTTGGTGGATGTTCTTCAATAATGATTATTTGTTTGTTGAGTTTAATCTTTTACTCTAACATTGCAGATTTTTTTACAAAAGCAAATGTTTATTACAATTCCTAAACCGCATTTTCTAATGATCCTAATTACATGAAGATGAATGATAATAATGCAATGTTTGCTTTATCAATTGATCAGAACAATTATACAAAACTTCCATTTTTTAATATTACTATGGAATAAAAGTAAGAATTTATCGATCTAGAATATATGAAAGATCTTTGAATGGAACTATTAAAAAATCAACTATAGAGATACCTCTTGAGCCTTGTACTTTGAATAGATTTAATAATGTCGTTGAATAATAAGGAATTGATACTAATTTTAATGATTCTTTTAATTACTTAGGTATGGATTAATGGTTATGTCCAAGGTATATGAATTAAGTATTTAGGATTAACTATTAATTGGAGTTGTAAGGTACATACTCAAGTGAAACTTTTAAATTTATTAAAATAATTGTATCAGATTGTTAGAATAATACTAATTCATCTTATTGGAATCCTGTTTGTGCTAATGAAACTTTAAAATCACAATATTTAAATGCAAATGGACAATTCAAACTTTAAGTTTTTCAAATAAACACAATGGTGAATCCATAAAAGGCTAAAAATCATAAAACTATGTATTTAGATAGTGATATGTACTTTTCATTTGTACCTAATTAATTATCGAGATTAGCTAATGTTTATTATAGATCATATGTAATAAATAATGATTAAAGTCTATTACCTTATGAGTAATTATTTGATTAAAATAATTAGAGATATTTAAAAAGAGGAATTAATAGTGAGGAAAGCTGAAGATTTTAGAGACTTAACTGAATTAGGAAGGGATACTGATAGTATATATGCAACAATTTATTTGAGAAGAAGTCCTTTTACAGAGATTATAGATAGGAATTATGAAAAACTTGGTGATCTCTTATCATATTTAGGAGGATTCATGCAAATATTTAGAGTGATATTTGGATTCTTTATTGCCTTCTATAATAGAACATCAATGTTAATAGAATTATCAAACAGATTATATGATTTTAAAGAAGTTACAAGTCGATCTTATATAAGAAAAGGTGCTTTCAGTTAAAATCTAGGAGAAGTAACAACTCCCCCTGATGAAATGAATATTATTTTAAGAAATCAACCAAATAATGATTTACAAAAAGTTGAATGGAAATAATTCATTCATAAATTAGTAGAAAGATCTTAACCTATAAAATTAAATTTGAAGATTCTTATAAATGAATTAAGTTGTGGATATTTCTTCAATAATACTAACTCATCTTTTTTTACAAAGGCTATGTACTTTATATAAATCTATTTTAAAGGATGAAGATTAATAATGAATTGGATCTGCATAATATTCTACACTAATTATAAGAAGTTTCTAAATTGAAAACTGTTTTACTTTAAAAACCATAATAAATTCTATTTAATTTTAGTCCAAAGCCTATAATCACTTTAAATTAAGAGAATAATGTACCATCAAGAATAGAACTAGATTTTTATAATAGACAATCATATATAAGAAATAAGGAAGAAATTCCAAATGAAGAATTATTTACTTAACTTTAAGATGTAAATTATTATGTATATTTATTAAAGGCATATAAAACAGTACAAGAAGAAATGGAAAATAGTTAAAATAGTTTAATTTGTTAGAAAACAATCAATTTTAAATTGACAAAACAAATTGATGATGAATTAGGAAAATTCTTAAGAAGTAGACGTATGAGTTGTATAAATTAAGAAGAAATCTCTTGATTTAATAAAATTTACTGTATATATATATATATATATATAAATAAGAGTTGATAAGAACAACAATCATTTTTAAAATTCAGTTTATTATTAATTTTGTCTTAACATTCTTAATTCCTCATCTTATATTTATTTTAGGATTGCTCTTCTCCTTTCATAATCCATTTATTCTCTTGTTTTTTATTATATTCTTCTAAATTCTTCTTTTGTAGTTACATATTATTAACCAGTGTTTTAATCCACAACAACAATTTATCTGTTTTCCATTAATAAACCAAACAACTCAAAAAATACATATCCAGCCATCCCCATCATAAAAATAATTAAATATCTCATAGCAGCAGCTCTACTTGAATAAAGTTCCTAAAATAAATTTAATTGTGGATAATTACAAATTATTCTTCTTATGTATATTTCTTATATTATTTAAATGGATCATCTTTTGCATATGATGTTTTAGAATGATATTAATATTCATAATGAGATTACTATCTTTTGTATTCCTCATACATTCTTCTAAATTATTCATGATTTACATTCTATTAATAACTATATGCTTCTTTAGTAATAATTAATACTTGAATGTTAATGATATTATCGATCATATTGTTTTTTCTAATATTATTGAGGATTAACTTATGATTCATCATACTCACTTTTGGTTGTAGGGTTTTTTAAAACTTCATATGCTTCATTTATTGCTTTAAATTTATCAATTTAATCAGGATTTTTATCTGGATGATATAGTTTTGCTAATGTATAATAAGCTGTTTTAATTTCTTCTTAAGTAGATTTATTTGTTAAATTTAAAATTTGATAATAGTTCTTGTTTGGGTTGAATTTCAATTGTGAAAAGAAAAACTTTATTTTATTTTTCATTATTAAATAAAAAATTATTCAAATACTATTTTATTTTAATGTTTAATTGTTAAGAATTAAGACTTATTTAACTTATAATTACATCATCAATATCTATTAATTTATCTCTAAACTTAAAATAATTAATAAAGAAAAAAAATACAAAATAATTTGATCATTTACTAAAGAAACAACAATGTGAAGATTTAGGACCATTAAAATAACATGGGTTAGATCTAAATAATACAGTATTTTGATTTTTAATTCCATCGATCATTAAAAATTCATAGTCTGGAACTCGACCGGTTTTTGCACATGGCAAGGATGTTATAGAATCACCATAATTTTATAACTATTTCTATTCCTCATTAATACTCGTTTGTAATCCTTCATAATATCACAAAGCAAAATAGGTTTCAGCATATTTAATACTACAAAAACTGGTACAAAATTAAGATCAACTAAAGATAGTTCGTTTCCATTTATATATTTCTTATCTTTAAGCCATTCTTCCATTTACTTTAATCGTTTTATTATCCATTCTTTAATTTTGACAAATTTCTATTGCTTTTAAATAAGTATTTACTTCTTATTCTGTACTAAAAATCAATTAGTATAAACTTTTAATTATCTCATTTGAATACTCAAACTTAGCTCTGTCTAAAGCCTTTTGTATAGGGTCTTCTGACATTAGTTTAGGTGGTGTAATTTCATCAATGTATTCCATTATAGCTGCTGACTCAAATAAAACAACTTTGAATATAAAATTAAATAATACCTTCTTCACCAATAATTAAAATAGGTACTTTTTCGAGAGGACTAATTTTAAGAAACCAATCAGGTTTATTATGCATCTCAATAAACTTGATTTCAAATTTAACATTTTTATGACACATTATTGTAAGTACTTTCATGCAATAAGGACATATTTTAAATGCCACAAGTGTATGTTTGAATCTTTTATCCATTACAAATTTAATCGATTTATTTTTGCTATTCTAAGAATTTAATTTATAATTTTTTAGATAATTCTTAATTCTTTAAGATGTTAAAACAGAATGAAAAGAATTATTTTCTATTTCTATTTGATTTTATAAGACAATTAATTGCTATTACAAGAAATCACAAAAATTATTTATAGGTTAAAAATTCTGATTTAAATAAATTTGATTCTAAAAAGTAAAATAAAGAGAAGATGTTTCAAAATTTGCGATGAGGATATATTTTAAGTAAAACAAATTATAAATAATAAATAAATATGGTTTTGATAATTATTTTTTTAAAAGTCAAACAATTTTTAATTCAACTAATTTTAACAATTAATATTTATTTATTTGTCATAGGATATCATATGCTTAGTACATGAAAGTAAAATAAGCTATAAACAATTCTGATTCAATTTATAAATCTTAATGATTAGAGTGTTCTAGAAGTCATAAAATTGTAATTAAATGGTAATAAGAATTTCAATGTCAAACATTAGAAGACAACGAAAAAACTGAAATTTATTGTATTGAATAAAAGAATTAGATATTATTGTTTTAAGTATTTAAAGGAAGTTGAGGATTATAATATTGAGTTGATTTAAAAAAACAAGTTTATAAGGGAGTTTAACTTAAGCTTGAGGACTACAGTGAATATTTATTGAATATATATTATTTTATTATTTTGTATGAATCAATACGAAAGAGTGTTCAAAGAATCTTGGATAATGATAATGATTACACTTTTAATAATGTTTTAAAGTATATTTGGAGATGGATCCTTAATTATAACAATTATTATTCTGGCTATATAGATATTAAGTGTAATGTTGGGTTTCATTTAACAAACTTAAAAATATGCAATACAATTTGAAATACTTTAGCAATGGACCTTACTATTTGCTTTATATTTAAGCACAAAATTTAATGCAATGTCAATATTAGCATTATGTAGTTTAAAAGAGTTCTTTTTTTGTAAAATAAATGCATAGTTACCTTCACTTAATAAACTATAAATAATTCACTTAATTGGATCTGATCTCATTCTATTTACAATAATCTTATTAGAGGATAATAATTAAGTATATTTATCAGTCACTACTATAATGGTTCATTGGTTAATAATATTTCATATTTCTAAATCTAAGATAGCAAGAAAGAATATAAACAGTTCTACATAATAAGAAATTCATGATAAGATAATGATTGATAGTGCAGGTAACACTTAAAATCATTCACGTTTAAAATTATAAGAGAAAGCAAGTCATCATAATGAGAGTCCAACACAAGAAAGAGATAATAAGTTAGAAATCTTGAGTATATTTCCATAAGGAATAGGATTAATTAAAATAACAGAAAAGAAGATAGAATTAGAGTATCATAATGAAAATTTGTTAAAATTATCAATGGCTGAATAATCAGATTAAATTCTGTCCTCTTTATTTAATTTAGAACAATAATCTATTCAAGAGGATCAAGAAAAGTAATAAAATGATTATAAGAATTCCATGAGTTCATTTTCTACTTTTTAATAAACTCCTATACCTTGTAATTTAATAAATAAAGCAAATCGAAATGAAAAGAGATCTTAGACTAATAAGTTATAAAGTTCTTAAAAATTAGAATTATTTAGATAAAATTCTGTTTTAAGCAATATTGATTACAAAGGTGTAATCTTGAGAAAATGTGATACACTTGAAGAATCGGTAATGTAAGTTTATAATTTAGATTTTGGAATAAGAACTGAGATTAATATCATCATAAATGAGAAAAGTAGACTTTTAAAATTATATGAAAAATCAAAATCAGTTGATTTAAGAACATGTAGTAATTTTAGGCTATTAAAAAGGATAAGATGGAAAAAAGAATAGAACTATTGAAGTTAAATTGTATAATGCTTTAATTATTGATGTTCCTTATATTTTAATGCTAATTAGAGACATAACTCATAGAGATTATATATAATAATTACGTGATTATAGTAAATAGAAATCTAAGACTTTATCTTTTGTTAGTCATGAATATAGAACACCATTAAATTGTATAATAGATATGCTTGAATAAGGAGTTGATGAAGATTAGAAATATTCATCATAAACTATGATTATGGAAAAAGAAGTACGTAGATCTACAAAGACTAATATACCAATTAAAATGGCTAAATAAATTAAAATTGCATTAGATCATGCAAAATATTTATAAAATTTAAGTGATGATCTATTAGATTTAGCATAAATAAAAGTTGGAAAATTTAAGATCAACAAAGCCAAATTCAATTTTAATCAATTATTAGAAACATGTGTAGATTTATTTTAAGTAATGGCAGAAAGAAAGTAAATTAAATTATATATCAATTATGATAATAAAGCACCTAGATATATATGTTCTGATCCTAGTCGGTTAAAATAAATAATGATAAATTTATTGGGAAATGCTTTTAAATTTACTGAAGAAGGTTCAGTGACAATAAAAGTATCTCAAATTAATTTAAGATTGGAAGTATCAGTTGTTGATACAGGAATTGGTATGACTGAAGAAGATTAATTAAGAATATTTTAAGCTTTTGGAAAAGGTAATAGTGAAGAACATAAAAAAATGAATAAATCAGGTGTGGGATTAGGATTATTAATTAGTAATTAAATTTTATAGAATTTAAATTAAGACTTACAAAATGGATTAAAATTTAAATCTTAATATAAAAAAGGTATTATTGTTAATATATTTGAAATTAGGGTCTACATTTTATTTTTAGATTCAATATTAAGATATAAATGAGATAAAATCTTTGAATAGTATGGAAGAAAGAAATTAAGATAGTGAAGAATCAATTACAATGTAATAATAATAAGAGGAATCTATTCATAAAGTTTATGTTCATAATTAAGCATCAATCTTTAAAAGATCAACAAAAGCTATAATGACAACATAAATTATGATAGTTGATGATGTTTGTATGAATATTGATATGTTGAAAAGGAGGTTAGCATAAATGTAATATATTATTATTATAATAAGAGGATAAGATCATATTGATTCAGCAACAAATGGTTATTTAGCAATTGAAAAATGTTAAAAGAAATGGCAAGCAAATTAAGATTACTATAAATTAATATTTATGGATTTAGAGATGCCAACAATAAATGGAATTTAGACAACTAAAAAGATATTAGAATTGTCTCAAAAATATGGAATCAATGTTAAAATAATTGGATGTTCTGCATATGAATGTTCAGAATAATAATAAGAATGTCTCAATGCAGGAATGAAGGATTATATAACAAAGCCTATTCAATTATAAGATCTCAAAAGAATTGTGTAGTAGTATTTATGATTTTTTTTAAAGACTTTTTATTATTTGTTTTTGATAAACATTTAAATACTTTTTATTACAATCAATTAAAATAAAAATTCAACAAAGACCATCTTTTTATTTAATTTTATTTTCTTCTTTAATAGATTCTCATCAATAATAAAAATATATATAAGAAATCTCTTATTAAGAGTATGATAAAAAATAAGTATTTATTTAAAATAAAGAGTATCAGAACTTGATATAAAAAATGATAAATTAAAAGATAAAGTTGAAATTATAAATGATCTATATGAATAAGAGTATATTAATTGTTAATCAAAACAGAAAACTCAATAAATCTTGTATTTAAATTATTTGAAACTAATTTATAGATGTGGTAAGTTGTAAAATAAAGTTGCATAAAATGACATTAAAATTTTGGAACTTCAAAATGCATTAAAATATAGAGATGATTAAATTACTTAAAATGAATAAAGAATATAGAAAAATTGGAAATAAATCTAAAACCTTAAGAAAATAAAACAATCCAAAAATATAATGAGTTATTGATATTACTGCATTCTAATTATTTCAAAAAATATTAAAAATGAATAAGCCTATATATAGAGAGTATTCTAACTTAAAAGGAGATGATGGAGATCCTAACAATACTAGGTTAGTCTAAATCAATGAAGATAACAATCATACTTATATTGAAAATTCGATAAAACAAACTTTCAATGAATACAATAAATACTAGGAACCAAATGTTTTCTCGCCTTCTAACAGTAACAGTGAGAAAAAAGAGTTGAAAACAGATAATTAGAAAGAATTTAAAGCTCCCAGACTCATTATATAAAATATAACAGACTCTGACAAACTCATTGAAATAACAACTACTGATCATGTTGATAAGTTAGACCCTATAAAGTCTTTAAAGGGTATGTTGGGTTCAGAAACTGTATAATATCAAAAAAAAAGAATCAAATTTAGAAATCCTACTTATGAATTTAAGGTAAGATAAAAGAAGATATTAAATTGGAAATCAGAAGCAATGTGTAAATGGAAAATCAATCTCATTATTATTTTATTTGTTGTAAGGTTAGAAAAGAATATAAATCATAAAAATTAGATAAAACATTAGGTTTAAACAATCAAGCAAGAAAATAGCAATAACAAATTTAATTAATAAGAGAATCGTGTCAAAAAGATATGCATCTCAATATTAAAATTGATGTGTGGATTATTTTTAGCAATGTTAATAAGTATTATGTTGTTGCCCTTTATTTTAATTTCAGATTTATTCTTAAGGCTTTATACTTATAATAGTTTATATGTAAAATATGCATGGTCATATGAGAATAAGTGTTACAGAATAATTTTATTAATGCAATTGTATATTTATGCTTTAGCAATTGTAATAGCTATAATAACAAATCTATATTAGAGTTTGATAACAACAGTTGAATTGATATACAATATTGTGGGTACAATGTAAAATAATATATCCAATCTCAGTAGATTATTATTTTCTACAATTAATACAACATTCTCTAAATAAAAATGAATATAGTTATATTCACTAAAACTTAGATCTAAAATCAATTTCAAATCTTAGTATATTTTCTTTTCGAAACTTTACTTATAATATATTGAAATTTATTTATTATTATTTAAAAAAGAATTAATTCAATGTAGTAATAAGTTGAAGAAGAAGAAGAAGTATTTTATGATGAAGAATTCATTCTTATCTTGCAAAAAGTTATAATTGAATGTGATGGATATGATGAATTAAAGAATTACATTTCAATAAACAAACCATCTTTCAATGTATTTAAATCTAATATAATTAGTTAATTAAAACATAATTTTAAAAGGTTTTAAACTAAAACAATAAAGAAAACTTTGAGTAAAATTTACAAAAGATATTTGAATAATTATTACAAAAGAATATTCAAAGAGTATTTATTAGAGTTTTATTTTAATATTTGAAAGAAAATAAAGATTAAATGAATTTAAAAAAGCTTTAAAATTCTGGAATAGCTAAAAATTGGAAGAATTTATAAGTTTAAGAGTTGTAAGAATTTATAGAACTTTTTGAATTAAAAGATTAGATAACTGAAAAAAAGTATAAGAAATAATTTTATTTAGTTTGCTTTAACACTTTTAAGATTTAGTAAATAAAAAGAAATTTTAAGATGCTTTCTAATTTTATAAAGCATTACAATTACCATAATAATGTTTTGATAATTTGATAGATTAAATGGGAAATAATCAAGATGCTGGTAGAGCAGCAGATTTTATAATTAAATAAGATTTTAATCCAGCTAATTATCCAAAAATAGTTGAAAGACTTGAAAAAAGTTGCACAAGATATTTATATTAAGAATATTCATGGTTTAAATGTGAAGAAATGCTTATGTTTTCATAATCATTATTAGTATATTATTGTGAAGATGCATATTTTCATGATATGAAAAGAGAAGCACTTTCTATTATAAAAAGAAATAATTTAATAAATTAAATATAGAAACCTAATTTAAAAGAATAAATGGAAAAAGATTTAGAAGTAGGATTTGAAGAGATTCCAAACATATTATTTTTAAAGGATGAATTTAAACCTGTTGAAGAATTTATAAATAATGAAATTGGTGTTTATTTACATTGTAAAGATTTTGGATATTCTGAAAATCATATTATATTTATTGATAAAATTGATTAGAATTATAATGATGCATGGAAATGTATTAATTCTAGTAATGCTATTGGTATTATTTATTTTTATTCAATAGGTTATGATTGTGAACATATAACACCTTGGACTAAATTAGATTATTAAGGATTTAAAGTCTGTTTAGTATAGATTGCTACATCTAATCATGCTTTTTTATTTGATTATTAAAAACTAAAAGAATTTTAATAATTTAAAAATGATATGTAATAATTATTAGAGAATGTTGAAATATTAAAGATTGGATTGAGTTTGAAAGATGATTTGAAACATACTGTAAACTATTTGAAATTGAATAATATAATTATTAGATCAATTATAGAATTGTCAACTTGTTTCAAAGTATTAGAAGGAGATCCTAAACTTAGATCCTTAGCATATATATCAGAATTCTATTTTAAAAAGAAATTGAGTAAATATGATACTTGTAGTAATTGGGAATACAGACCTTTAAGAAAAGCCTAAATTCATTATGCTGCCTTAGATGCTATAGCTTCTTTATAGATATTTTAAATTATGAAAGAGAAGAATAATAATATCATTGAACAAGAGAAGGATGTATTAACTATTGGTTGATTAGAAATGAGTATATTATCTTTTTTAGTAAATATGTTTAAGAATTAGTTAATTGCTTATTATTATTAGAAGATAAGTATATAAAAAGAGTATCTCTTGTGGTTCATTAGAGTATTAAAAATAAATAAATTAATTTAAAAATAAATTTAAATAATGGACCAAGATTTATTGAGACCTTAATATGAAAGTGAAAAGAGAAAGCATAAATTAAAGAGATTGATTTAAGCTCCAAACTCATACTTCATGGATGTCAAATGCCCATAGTGCCAAGCTAATAACACTGTATTCTCCCATGCCAGAGGCATTATCACATGCATGTAATGATTGCCCTTTATAGTGTTAGTAAATGCTCAAGTCAATTGGGAAGATCAACAGGAGGAAAGTTATAACTCGTTCTTGGTGCAAAATACAAAACAAAAAAATGATAGTATATGATAGTATAATAAATAAACATACATAGCCACATGTTCAATAAATTAAAAGCAGTTAATATGGAACTGCATTCCTTTCTTCTTACTATATATTTATAATCTATTGAGAATAAATATATTTATATATATATATAGATATGACCAAATAATAATAATATTATAGTTGAAACAAAGTCTATATTATGATTGACTTTATGTTTTAAATACAAACACTATCATTTATAATAAACATTTATGCCATATTATAATAATTTATCTGATAATAAAAATAAAGTATTAAATGAACATTCATCTTCCTCAAAACAAGCAATTTTTGCCTGAAAGTATTGATTAGACAACTGAAGAAGCAAAGTGAATAGTACTTTCTGATAATCCTAAATGAAATTTTTCATAGTTACTTTAAAACTTAAAGGTGACTATGGATTATAGAAAAATAATAGAGTAAGAAATATTTAATGATGGAAATTGAATTGTAAAATAAGGTATATATATTCCATGATAAGTATTTAAATAATGGTTTATCGTATATATTTATAATTGGATAAATATGTAATTGTCATGCTGTATAAAAATAGAGACAATTGAGGCAAGCTACAGCAACAAGATTCTAGGTTTGGCACATACTCAATTTCTAAACTTTACGATTAAAATCATAGGATGATCCCAAATTCTCGAAATACTTAGGTGGGATTTATCTCACAATAGTTTTCTTATTGAAATTAAGTTCGTATTATGAATTACATTCACCTAATAATAATAATAAGTTGTACCCATTCTATCTACAACATGAAATGTGCTATTAAAATTTCCAGTAATAAAACTATTAGAATCAAGAGTTGATGCAATTGAAAATTTATCAAAAATGCATTCATTTTCATAAAGATCACATAATTTAGATTTAAGTGGTTCAAATACTTAGACAGTAGCAACTGGTTTATTAGTCATTGCAATATCCCAAACTTTAACAGTAAGGAAATCTCTTGAAAAAATATATTTTCCATTTCGACTGAAACAAGCATCTGATATAGATGTTACTATTTCAGTAAAGAAATTCTTCTTAGCTGGATCTTCAGGTTCAGACATTGTAATAGCAGTATTGTCACAAATACCTGACTTTCTCATATCACATAATTTAATAATTCCTTTGCTGGTAGTATACAAAAATTAATTATCTAAAGTTGGATGAAAAGTAGAGGATGTAATTACTTCACTTAATTCATCTAAATTCTCTGGTTTTAAATCAACAGCCACAAAAGCTTTAGATGGTTATTCAATACTCCATAAATAAACCTTTAAATCATCTGAAGTCAAAACAAATTCTTCATTATTAGAGGCAGTTAATGAATTAATATGATAATTATGTAGATTTGGAAATACTTTTCTAACACTTAAATTTATAGAATATATAAAATTACCTTGGAATTAATCCACTTTCAACAACCTATAGTTTAGGCATTGCTAAATCTTTACCACTAGGTTTAATAACTTTAGTGACATTCTTTTCACTGATCTTCCATAATTTCACTGTCTTATCATTAGTAGTCAAAATGTACATGTTTTTACCTTATCCTCTTAACCACTGAAGTTAATTGATCTTTTCTTCTATATCAGTACTCTTTAAGAAATCAAACTCTCTTGTATGAGATTAAAGTTCAGTCAAATACCTATAAAATTGCTCAATATTTATACTAATATTCTGCTTTATCTTTCTTTTTAGTTTATGGAACTTCAAAAACTATTAAACGTCCTGCTCTGTCTCCTAAACCTAAAAATCTTCCAGTCCTTTCAAATTAAACAGCTGAAATAATGTCTTCATCACTAACATTATCAGATGAGGCTTTGTCACCGAATACTTACATGAATTTCCAATCTTATTTCTTCATTTTATTTTTTTTAATTAAAATATATATAAAACTAAAAGTAATTCATTCACAAAATAATCCATCAATCAAGATTAATACCTAAAATTCATATATTTATTTTATATCATATTATCTAATAATATAAACTAACAATATTATAAGTGGATATTCATTTTTAAGATATTATTTCTATCAATTACAAATACTAAGAATTATAATACTTTATCCAATATATATCAAATATTAAGTTAATGTCATTTTCTAACTATAAATTCTACTAAAACTCTTTTCTATTAAATTCTTGATAAAAAATAGAGTAATCTTTCTCATATAAATTAATTTACTTAAAATAAATGATTTATACAATCTAAATTGTATTTTGTGCTGACTTATTTTTAAATTAAAATGTATTTGAAAATATATTTCATTATAGAATGTTAATTAATTCATTCCTTTAAAAACAATATATTTTGATTTGATTCAACAACCAAAACGTCTTAATACATGTTCATATTTATTTTATAATTAATTCCAAAAATGATTATTTTTTAATCTATTAGTGCAATAATTCTAAATTTTTCAATACACTATTTCTTTATTATTACATTAATGAATTAATCAAAATATATAAATGAAAATCTCACTTCTAAACAAAAATTTATCAAAGACTTTCTAATAGGATCTCTAAGCTATTTTACGACAATACTAATCTGCACTCCATTACAACGTTATCAAATGTTAATCATCCAACAATAAAGAAATCCTTTCAAAAGTCATCATAGAACACTGATCCAAATTTTATATGAACGTACTGAAGTATGATCAATGTATTGATCCAAAGGGCATCAATCATCTCTGGAGAAGCCATCCTGATGATCTTAGATATATATTATCTCATGGATTATTGTTTGCCATCAATGACACATACAAAAAACTTATTAATTCTTATTTTCAAGATGAAAAACATTCTAAAAATGCTTTCATAGCAGGAGCCTTTGCTGGGATAACTCATTTATTTTTAAATTATCCTTTTTTAGTAGCAAGATTAAAATTAAAAGATCCTGAATATAAAAAGATTTCTCTTATTGAAAACAATTTTATATCTTAATTCATAAGAATTATAAAAACTGAAGGAATTCTTACATTATATCGAGGTTTTCCTATTGCCTTATTAAGCACTGCAATTTATAGATCAATATATTTTGGAGGGTATAATCATTTCCAAAAATATTTATAAGTGATTCCATTCTTTAATAATATTATTACTAAAATAGCATTATCATTTATAATAACTACTATAGCAGAAATAGTTTCATATCCATTTGAATAATTAACTCCAAAGAAATGTATATTAATTTTCTAAAATAGCAAGAACCTATTATAATGATATGACAGAAATTATTGGAAAATATAGAACAATGAGAGGTTGTTTAGCAATTGTATTTTATGGAGAGTTATTTTCTATTTATGATAAAGTGATGACATCATTTATATTGGATAGAGATGAATTAAATTTATGACTCTAATATATATCATTTAGAATTATTATTATTTAAAGAATTTATATATATATATATTTTATATTAAAGAAACATTTATTTATTTATAGAATTTTAGGATTTTTTGATAATTTTTTGTATCTAAAATTGATATAATAATAAAATTAATTATGATTAGTGATTTGAAATGATAACTGTCAATATAAATTTTAAATTTATTAAATTAAGCAATCTTTTTTGTTTGATCATATTAAAATATTATTAAAAATAAACATTTCAAATGGAAAGAATAAATTCATGTATTTGATTTCATTATTTTATTAGATTTAAAAGCTTGCGATATATTTGCTTAATCACCATCCTTAGGTATGAATCAATAATCAATATATTAATCAATATTTGGTGGATTTACATCAATAACAACAATATTTCTAGTGTTTCTCTTTTTCTCAAGCAATTTTCTGGATTATTTAAATGGAAAGAATATTATAACAAAGTAAACTTAAATCTATGATAATAATCTTTCTAATCTTTAATTAGATGATTAAGATTTCATAATAGCATTTGGAATTGAATAATAGAACTTTTTAACTTAGCCTTATTTTTCAGTCACTCTATAACAAAGGTAATTTATTATATATTTTAAATAAGAGAATATTTAAGATTAGATAATGGATCAATATTAAAAAATATTACTTAACTTCCTTTAGAGCCATGCAAATTAGAAAGATTTTAAACTGTATTTCGAAAATATGGTAAAAATTTTTCATAAGATTTTAATCATTTACATTTAGAGAACTTATTATGTCCAAAGTATTTAGTTTATATAATATTATAGAAATAATATCAGGATGAATATTGGTGGTACATTTGCATGTAAATTAAATACGATTAATTAGCTAATTATTTTAATTTTCTAAAAATTGAAGTTTCTGATTGCAATCCATCTTAAATTTTAGAAAATAGTACATGTGCTTCAAATGATGAATTATAAAATTAATTAAATTTATCAGGATCATTTAAAGTATAAGTATATTTAATAAATAAAGTAAGATTTAATAATATTATATTTAGGTAATTAATCCAAATAAGATTGGATCAGATTATATATCTATTTTTTTAGATGATTAAAGTTATTTATCATTTGTTCCTAAGAAATTAAATAAGTATGCAAATATTTATTTTCGAGAATATTAGTTTAGAAATAATATAGATTTTTATTCAATTGAGTAAATTTAATTTTATGATAAAGTGATAACTAAAATTTAAATTTTATTTCAATAGACAATACTGAAACAAAAGAAGTAATAGATTTAGGAAGAGAATAGGATACATCTTTTGCAGCATTTTATTTTAGAAAAAGTCCTATTACAATATTTGTTGAAAGAAACAATTAAAATGTAACAGATTTATTATCTAAATTGGGTGGATTATTATAAATATCTTTAATAGTTATGGGATTTATTATAGCAGCATATAATAAATAAAAAAGTAATGTTATATATAAGAATTAAGTGATGGTAGAATTGTCAAATAAAATTTATGAATTTAGTTAAGATGTAGATGAATAAAATAAATAACATTAAGTAAATCTTGAATTAATTAATAATGTATATGAAGATAGACAATTTCGACATGAATATTATGTTAATAAAGAAGGATAATAATAAATTATTCCAAATAGTTAAATTAAACATAAGAGTAAGATATTTAGACTCTTTGGTAAAGGTTAACCTGAATAACATATTATTTTGACTGATAGACCTATAACTGAAAATAATGAATGTAATATTTAATATTCTTATGAAAATGATGACAAGAGTAATTAATATACATAGTAAGCCATAAAAGATCATGGATAATTGGCATAATAATTAAAATGTGTAAGTGGTTTAGATTATTTTAAAAAATAAATAAATCTAATTTTAAATAGATCGTAACCATTAAGATTTAATATATCTATATTTCTTAATTAAATGTGTTTTCGAAAAGTCTTTTAAAATTAAAAATCAGTTTAATTTTTCAATTCTGCACTGTATACTATTATTGTATTTTAATTTAAGTGATAAAATTAATGAGCAATTAGATGTATTTAACATAATTACAAAATTAAATGAAATTGAAAAAATGAAAGAAATATTATTAAATAATTCATAGTTACTATTATTCAATTTTACATCAAAACCTATAATTTCTTTAGAAGAAGAAAAAGAAATGCCATTCAATAGAACTATTTTAGAAGAGAAAGTTAGAAATACAATGTAAATTTTAATATAATTAGGAATGAGACAATATGTGATGAAAAAAAGAAATAAAAATTAGTAAAACGTAAAAAAATATATAAATAATATCGAAGAACAATAAGTTTAGATAAAGATATGAGGATTTATAATAGGATTTATAGAGTATTATCATTATAATTTTTTAGGCATATGATACAATACTTTAATAAAGTTCAGAATTAAATCCATAACATGAAGTTAATAGAAAATTAATAAAAAAATTAGGAGATGAAATATAGGCAATCTTCAAATTATCAAAATTACTTGATTTTGATGGATTAAGAAGACTTAGGGCAAATTCTAATAATGATATATTCTGTCGAAATACATAAAATGTACCAGATGATATGTTAAGTAAATGATTGATCTTATATTTATAATAAATTATTAATGTAAACATTAAAATGGGGTATTATTATATAATTAGTCAGGTTTATAGAGAGTTGATGTTTTTGGCTAGATTGTATTTCTTCGAATGAATAAATAAGCCTATTATCGTACAAAAATTGGAGGAAGTTTTTCAGTTGCAGTGCTTTTTATTATGATTTATTTTTACTCTTAAAGTCTTTCATCTTTCTTTTTGAAAGAATATTTGAAAGTTGTTTCATCAAATTAATATGAAGACTAAATATAAAAGATATAAGTTGACAATTCAGAATTCATGTTTGCATTTAAAATAGAACAAAATAACTTTACAACATCACCTTATTTCAATTTAACACTAGAATAAAAGTAGTTTTTATTAATAATTTAAGGCAATATAGAAGAAATTAAAATGGATAGTAAATTAAAAGCTCTATCAATTTTCCATTGATTCCTTGTACTTTAGATCGGTTTTAGAATGTATTCTCTAAATATCAAAATGATTTTAAAGAATAATTCAATATTTTAGGAATGAATGATTTTCTATGTCCTGAGTAAAAATATATTCAATTAATAGATAAAACACAACTTTAACTATGGGAGGTACATATACAAGTAAATATAAAATATAATGAAGGTAGCGATTTTTAATTTTTTACATTATAAATTACAAAATGTTAAAATAATGAAAAAGTAAAATGTGCATCACAATAAGAAATAGATGAATATTTATAAACAATGGGATCATTTAAAATTTCAATCTATACAATTAATTAAGTAATTTTTATATTTCAATATTAATAGATAATAAATCCATATAAATAATAATATAGATCTGTTTTTTTAGATGATTAAATATATTTTACATTTGTTCCTCATTAAATAAATAGATAAGCTAATATTTATTTTAGGAAATATGAATTTTTAAATGATTAAAGTTTAATGCCTTTTAGGTAAAATTTAATTATTTTCTAAGTGATATACAAGAAGATACTGTGTATCAAATTGATAAAACTGATATTAAAGAAATGTCTGATATTGGAACTTCAAGTGATTTGATATATGGAACATTTAATTTTTAACTTAATCCATTTAAAACAAAATTTGTAAGAAATTATCAAAAAATTGATGAATTACTTTCAAATTTAGGTGGAATTCAATAAGCTTTTTTCTTTTTTATTGGTTTAGCTATTGGTCTTTATAATAGAATTTAATGTAAATGAATAAATTATTAAAGTTTTAATTGAATTAGCTAATAAATTATTTGAATTTTAAATAGATTCTTCTTTGCAAAATAGATAACATTAAGAAAATTTGGAACTTATTAATGAATTTATGTAACACAGAGAAAATCATATTCATGCAAATTCAAATGAAAATATAAATGAATTAGATAATTTATAAGTTGAAGATAAATTATCACCCAATATATCTTAAAGATATAATTTATTAAATTTATTTGTAACTACAGGTGGAACTTAAACAAAAAATTCAACTAAAATAAAATCAACTAAAGATGCTATTAGATAATAATATAGGATGGCTGAAAAATTAAAATAGATAACAGGTTTAGATTACTTTTAAAAATAAATTATTAATATAATTGAAAGATAGAAACCAATTTACTTAGATTTTTTAATATTCTTTAATTATATTAGTTGTGGAAAACTATTTAAAAATAACCCTAGAGTGATACTTATGAATAAAGCTTTGTATTTATGATATATAATTTAAAAGTGAAAATCTATTAGATTAATTGGATGTCCATCATATCCTATTAAAATTAAATGAATTAGACAAATTAAAAGAAACAGTATTAAATTATAAATAGTTACTTATGTTTAATTTCACACCTAAACCATAAATAAATTTAGAAAATAATACAGCTTAACCTTCAAGACAATTAATTGAATAAATAGTTAAGAGTCCAGGAATAGCAGATAAGTATTATTATTATATAGATTTATTTAGTGAAGATTCAATGCAATTAGTTAATTACAAATAAATGTATAGAAATTAATTTAATTTATTTGGGGATTACTTAATTTATTCTAAAATATTTAATGTATATTAAATATTATATTAGGCATATGATGATATTCTTCAATAAAGTGATACAATTTATACAAATAAAGCTCTTATTTAAAAATTAGGACCTGAATTATAGGTTGTATTTAAGTTATCTAAACTTATTGATATACAACATAAAATATATAATAAACAACGTAATCCAACAAGAAGAGGAGCTATGTAAGAAGATGAAGAAGATCTATGTGTAAAAATGTTTGATTAATAAAGTTAATGAAGTTTAACTAATTTTATAAATCAATTTAAGAATATGGCTGGAACAGGCTTACCAGTTATTAATTTACAACCTGCACAATGAAGTAATGAAACAGCTGGGTAAATAGGCCCTTATTTCAATTTTTCATCAGTGTAGGCTGTTCCCATAATCTCTCCATTTAAACTGAATTTTAAAGTTCCATTGTTCATATTCAAACAAACTCCTAAGATTCCTTCCTTCTTAAATCTCTTTCCAAAAGATGGTCCAGTAGCATTACTATTATGACGTAACTATTAATAAATAAGTTTTAATACTTATGCTAATCCATAATAAGCCCATCCAAATTCAAAATCACAAAATGCAGTATTATAATTAAAATCTCTACAAGTAGACACTCCAATTTTCAATTCATTTTCTGTTTTTTCATCTGCTTCAATTTCCCAATATCCAATACCTTTTTCAAAGCCATGAGTAGCAATAGCTGTTCTAAACATATATGCTTATTCCTTTAAAAATATTTTAGTATCTCCATCAGAAAATGTTATACCAGTTCCCATTCTCTATCTATCCCATTTAAAGACTGGATAATTTCCAAAATCTTAATTCACAATAGTATTTGTGGTATAATTAAATGCTTAAACTTGATTAACTGATTGTCTCTCTTTTACATATTGTTTTAAACATAAATAAAGATCTTATTTATTTTTAATTTGTTTAATTTTACTCAATAACATACATGCCTAATCACAAACCTAAAATAAATAATTAAATCATACTTTTTAGTTTTCAAATTCATTTGTTGTTAAATTATTTCCACATATATCATAATTATTGCATTTTGGTAATTTGCAATTTAATTCATGTCTATCAACATCAGCTATCTTAAATGGCTTAGTACAATATGAACCTATATTATATTATATATATATATATTACATTTAATTTCAAGATCATCATATATTTTCTTTAATGACTTTTAAATTGGTTATATCTATGATCCTTTTGGACATCTATTAATGCATTCTCTAAAATATTAAGAGAATATATTACGATTATTTTTTAAGCCATGAATCCACACAAGGACCACAAAATACTGATCCACATGAACTACAATCTTTTGGAAGTCTAGCTACACATGAACATATTGGACAATCAAATATATCTTGATTGTAATTTGTGAATCTATCCTTATCAAAACCAAATTCTTCACCCATTTTTGATTAAATTTTTTGTTGAAATAATTATTGCTTTATTTTTATAAAAACAATATGAATTTATATTAATAAACTTTTTCTAGCAAAATATATTATGCTCAGATTCTATAATCATTAAATTTTGCAATTTTTCAAATAATTTAAATAATATGTATTAATTTGCTTATAGATCATAAATATCAAATATTCTATCATTATTTAGATGCTAATTGAGGGAATAATGCCTAAATGTTCATTGATTTATAACCTAATAAATTATATGATATTTATCACTTACCTAAAATCAAAATAATTGGTATGTATGTGTAATAAAACAATCTCATTAATAAATGTTTACCATCTGTTGATGTCCATCTTAAAATTTGACTGAGTTTCATGATTTTTAATGTTTTATTTTAATTTTAATTATGACGATAAATAATATATATAAATTTAACTATTCCTTTAAACATTTATAAATTACTCATCTCAAATAAATCTCTTCATAGATATCCCATCTACTCTTCTTCTTTAATTTTTACATTTTAAGATCTATAATCTAATTGTTATATAAACATATTAAATAATCTTATAATTTCTAATAAAAGGACATATAGTATCACTTAATATTATTGGATAAGATGCTATATTTAATTGATACAATATACAATCCAAAATAATGCTTTTTTTAATGTTTATTAATAATTTTTATTATAGATAATATTTCAAAAAGGATATAATAGAGTTAATTTTGTATCAAATTTTTTAATCTCTAAAAAATAAAAGAAAAAAAAACATTGAAAAAAGTATTAGACAAATTTTAGTTTTCATGATTATATTATTAATTCATTATCTATGTGATAATACAAATAAAATTAATAAAAAAAAGTATGAAGAATTAATTATTAATAACTTTCTGATATAATAAATGAATAGATGTATCAATATTTTCTAGAAAATAATATTATTTTAATTTTTTCTCAAAATTTTAGTTTATTTAATTAGTCATAACATAGCATCCAAATACTTATTATTTGAATGTTTAATGATGAGACATTTGTATTAAATATTTTTAATTTTTAATTTTATGTAAGTTGTCTAAGAATGTATATTTTACTTGATTATATTATAGTTCTTAAGAGGTGTGATATTTTTGGATAAGGAGTTAATTTTAATTATAAAAAAGAAGATACCTATAAGACAGGATTTGGTGGATTTGCATCTTTAGTAATAATCGTTGTTTTGATTGTCTTTTTTTAATCAAATGTTATCACGTTTTTTGCGAAAACCCACATTTCTGTTGCCTAAACTACAGAATTTGATGAAGACCCTGACTTAATAGTATTGAATGATGAGAATTTTATGATTGCTTTTCAAATTGAATAAGCAAATTTTACAACAAATCCTTACTTTAACATCACAGTGTTACAACAGTAATGAATTTATTTAAAATAGAAATTCCACACGATTAGATAATGGAACAGTTATTAAAATAACTTAAGAGATCAATCTAATTCCATGTACACTTGACAGATTTCAAAAAATATTTACTAAATACAATGTTGATTTTAAAACTCAATTTGACTAAATTGGACTAAAGAATTTCCTATGTCCAGATTATAACTATTCATTAAAGTTAGCAGGAAGGTATGCAAGTACTGAATTCGACTATATAAAAATATCAGTGACAGATTGTAATGATAATACTAGTTAAAATTCTCGATTAACTTGGAAGCCAATATGTTAATCAAAAGAGGCAATATCAAGTTTTTTAAAAAAGAATTCAGCATTTAAAGTTTCACTTTATATGACAAATTTAGTTATGAATCCTACAAATCCATAAGATTATGCTACAGCATTTCTTGATGACGAATTATATTTTACATTTGTATATGATAAAGTTTATTTTAGACCCCAAAATAACTTTCTAGATAAGCTAACATATTTTGGAGAAAATATAACTTTTAAACAGATGAAAGTTTGACTCCATTTAAAGTTGTTGTTAATGAAACTTATAATGTTCGATCAGCTACAGATTATAGAGATTTAACAATGTTAGGAAATGCAGTTGATAGTGTTTATGCTTAATTTTATATGAGAAGAAGTACATATTCGGAAAATGTTTGGAGAAACTATTAAAAAGTAGATGATTTAATGTCATATTTGGGAGGATTTTTATAAATAATGATTGTATTCTTTGGATTCTTTATATAAGTTTATAATAAACAATCATGTAATTATATATTATTATATATATTTTAGAATTAGTTGATTTATCAAATGAATTATTTGATTTTGATATTGATGATGATTAATAAACGAAATTAAATAGAAATGAATTAGTATAAAATGCTGATGATTTCGATTTTCAAGCCTAAGCCTAAGACTCAAATCAATAATAATCAATGATGAGTTTGGGACCAATATAATAAAGTGTTAGATTTGATAAAGATTAAGCAAATCTAAATAAATCACAAAAATCAATAAAGAATCCTTCAAAAGGAGTTTCGATTAGATAATTAAATTCAGTTCATGAAATTACTCCATTATCTTAATTATCAATAAATAATATCAAATTATTAGAAAAACATTAGACTTCTTTAGAGAAAATTGGAAGTAAAAATGGAAGATAATACTTTCTTGAATAGATTTAAAAATTATTTGCTAGAACTAAAAAGTTAGAATTTACTTTTAAATTTTTTTTTTAAAAAGTATTTTGTGAAAGAATGATGAAAAATCCTTAAGTTCTATTATTAAATAAAGCTGTGTAAATAATTTATATTAATTTATTTAGAAATTAAATTAATGCTGAATTGGATGTATTTGGTATTTTAGATAAATTACATGAAATAGACAAATTAAAAGGATTATTATTAAAAAAACCTTAATAAATCATATTTAATTTTACACCTAAACCTTTAATATCTTTATAAGAATCAAAATCATTGCCATCAAGATAAAGAGCATAAACTTTAAAATCATCAAAACATTCAAGGTATATATTTAATTTGATTTTTAGATCTTTTAATAAAGTAGAATCATCAATGAAAATTTAATTAGATTAGGTGAGCAAACATGTAATTGAAAACAAGGATAATTTTCTAGATCATGATTCACCATAATATTTATATTCGAAGTTATTTAAAGTATATTATATTAAAATATAAGGCATATGAAAGATTGATGGCTTTAATAGAAAATTAACATGAAGATGCTTATTTAAATAATTAATTAATTAGAAAATTGGGTCCTTAAATTTAAAATATTTTTGAAGTATCATGGCTTTTAATATAACAAACAAAAACTTCTAAAGAAATTGATGTAAATGATAGAGCTAAAAAGTTAATATCATCCAAATTTAGCAAATTCAAAAATCAAAATTAATAAGATAAAGAATCTGATGGAGAAGTGGATCCTTAAGATATTGAAATGCAATTTAGTCCAAAAACATCTTAAAATTAGAGCATCTTGAAAAGAGTTATTGGAAAAAGAAATTCGAATGAATTTTGAAAAATTTATAAAATAAAATTATTTATTATTCCAAATATATATATATATTTATAAGGAATTAATTTCTGAATTCAATATATATAAATTTTGAACTATTATGGAAATATGAAATGAATAAAAACTATTATTTCTGTTTAATAGTAATATTAAATTAGATTAATAATTTTAAAAAATACACAAAATTTCATTTCCAAATTAGAGGAATTAATGAAAATAATAATAATATATTTCCTAAAATCTATTTTCCACTAAATTTTATCTTAAAAACAAAAAAGTCTATTAAGTAACCAAATAATATTTAAATTTAACTAACATTAGAGATCACACTTAATTTTCCCTATCTTAGAGCTTATACCTATAGTTATCCTGCTAAAATAGATACTACAGTAATAATGAAAATCATTAGAGTTTCATTTAAAGAAGGTATTATATAACTAATATAATCAAAAAATTTACGTAGATCCATTTATTATTGAATTAAATGAAGGGAAGATTATTCCAAAAAAGGATTGATAACAAGAGATTACTAAACTATCCACCTAATTTAGATATAAAATGATACTTATTTATCCATTTATTTAATTAAAATGTTTACAATTGCTTAAGAAATAGATGCCAACAATATAAGTATTATCCCTATTATATGATAATATTCATTTTCCACATCATTCGTTTACTTTTTATTAGTATTATTTCTTGTGACTAAATATATACCTAAACCACAAAGCAGCATATTCAAAAATAATCTGAAATTAAATTGCTCCTTTTTTAAAATCACAATCTAAATGAATGAAGTCCATAGTGGAGACATTCTATTCAAAATTATAGATTCAGAGACTAATACTAGATCTAATCCTTTGAAATACATGAAAGCACCAAAGCTCGCTAGCATTCCTCTCTATATTAAGCTTTGCATATTCTTCTAATCAAAGTTGCAAGTCTGTAGCTTATAATGCTTGACTGCACATACAAGAAAAATGAAACTACATAACGCTCTTAAATATAGAGTTTAGTTAAAATCTAATCCTTAGACTAATTTTAAAAGCATAGCTGTTATAGCTGCAAATAAGGATGACGATATTTATTACATTATGGCAATATTTTCAAGCTCCATATCAAATTATTGTTAATTTAAATATTTAAGATCACTAAGAAATAACAGCCATTAATCAGAATTTATGAAAATATTTTATGCATTTTCAAAACTTGCAAGGTTATTTTTTATTTATATTAATTGATAAAACAAATAATCCTAATCTATAATTATACAAATATATTCTTTTCTATTAAATCCAATATTTTTAGATGTAATTTACCTATATTTTATTTTAAATATACTTAAAGTAAAATAATAGTTTCTTTAGGAAAATAACAAGATAGATGTGTTATATCCCTTTTAAAAAGCAAATACAACTTAAAATTAATACAGGTTTAATAATCACATTATGTTTCAATACAAATTACTTATTTTAAATATATTTAATAATAATTGTTATAATTTAATGAAAGTGGTTTAAGGATGTATGAATTTTATAATTTCATAGTTGTTAAAAGTTGTGATATCTTTGGATAAAAAGTAGATTTTAATTATAAAAAAGAAGAAACTTACAAAACAGGATTTGGAGGATTTGCATCTATCATTATTATAGTTGTATTGATTGTTTTCTTTCAATCAAATGTATTAAACTTTTTTGCAAAAATTAACATATTTGTTAATTAAACTACAGAATTTGAAGATTTTCCTGATTAAATTATAATGAATGATGAAAATTACATGATTGCGTTATAAATTGAATAAAAAAATTTTACATAAAACCCTTTTTTCAATATCACTGCAGTTTAATAGTAGAAATTTAAATTATAATAGAAATTCTACAAGATTAAAGAATGGAACAATCTTAAAAATAACAACAGAAATTAATTTGGTTCCATGCACATTAGATAGATTCTAAAATATTTTTTCAAAATTCAATATTGATTTTAAAACTCAATATGATTTAATAGGACTCTAAAATTATTTATGCCCAGACTTGAATTATTCGATGAAATTAAAAGGAAGATTTGCTAATAGAGATTTTACATATATAAAAATCACAGTTTCAAAATGTAGCAATGATACAAGTCAGAATTCTATATATACATGGAAACCTGTATGTTAATCAGAAGACTCTATTAAAAGTTATCTTGCAAATAATTCAGCCTTTAAGGTTTCCCTTTATATGACAAATTTAATAGTGAATCCATCAAATCCTTAAAATTTTATATAAGCTTACCTTGATGACGAACTTTATTTTACATTTGTAATTTTTCTTATTGAAAATTATAGACACCTAAATTGCTATAAAGGTAAGCCAATATATTTTGGAGAAAATTTAATTTTTAAACAGATGAAAGTCTTACACCATTTAAAAGTGTAAAAAATGAGACCTATTTTGCTAGAACTGCAACAGATTTTAGGGATTTAACATTATTAGGAGCGGATACTGATACTATCTATGCTTAATTTTACTTAAGAAGGAGTACTTTTACTGAAAATATTTAAAGAAACTATTAAAAAGTAGATGATTTAATGTCATATTTGGGAGGATTTTTATAAATAATGATTGCATTCTTTGGATTCTTTATATAAGTTTATAATAAATAATCATGTAATTATATATTATTATATATATTTTAGAATTAGTTGATTTATCAAATGAATTATTTGATTTTGATATTGATGATGAAGATAAAAAGAAATAATTATCAAATCCTGATGATTCAGAATAGTAGATACTACATTAAAATTAATCATCAATGGTTAGTCTTGGTTTTGAAGTAAATAATTAGGTAGGCAAAGATTAATCAATTAATAATAGTACTCATTTGTAAATTAAAAATTCATCTTAAGAATTAATTTTATAGAATTTAAATTCTATAAATTATAATTAATAATCTTAATAAAATATATAATATAAATAACAACTAGAATAGAAATATAAAGAGGAGTTAGAAAAAAATTAATAAAAAAGCGGTAAATAATACTTTTTTGAATAAATTTAAACACTTTTGATTTAATAAAAAAAAATAGAATTTACTTTAAAATACTTAATAAAAAGGATCTTTTGCTAAAAATCTCTTAGATCTCATGATGATTAATTACTCAATAAAGCAGTGTATATATTATATTATAAATATAGAAATTAAATTAATACTGAACTTGATTTATTAGTTATATTGAACAAAATACAAGAATTAGATAAATTAAAAGATTTATTATTAAAGAGACCATAATAAATCATTTTTAATTTTAGTCCTAAACCTTTAATTTCATTAAAAGATAAAAAAATATTTCCAACTAGATAATTAATTCATTAAACAAGTAAGAAAAAATTACCTAATAAGTAATTGATTATTTTATTAAAGGTTGGTTAATGAATTAGATTAAACATTTTAGATAGGAGAGGATAATTCAGTCTTTAATAATTCTTCATAATGCATTTATTCTAAACTTTTTAAAGTAATTAAATGATTAATCAAATTAGGCGTATTAAAAAATTTAGATTGAAATAGAAAAGCAAACAGTAGATAATAGAATCAATGTTTAATTGATTAAAAATTTAAACCCAAAGGTTTAAAATATTTTTGAAGTTACATAATTATTAGAATAGCAGGAGAAATTATAGAAATAGAACGAGTTAATTTAAATATCAAATTTATTTAAAAAATGATTTTTGTGATGATTTTAACTATTAAATTTAGTTTATGTTTTATTATCTACATAATGTTTTTAAAGATCTGAAAGAGAACTTGAACATTTTAATTATTTTACAATATTATTATTAAATTATATATGGCATTTGTATTTCAAGCTGAAAGAGATATAAACAATGCATCTGGAGCTTTACCACCAAATGTAGGTCCAGGAAGTTATATTGAACATAGAAAATATGAAGCTAGATCTCATGCTGCTCCTTTTAATACACAAGTTGCAAGAAGTAAGCCATTAAAAAAAAGTAACTCACCTGGACCTGGCAGTTATAATGTTGAATTTGTGACTGAAGGGTAATGATAATTTGTAATTTTAAGTTAACGAGTTGTTTTGTAATCTGCATAATCTGAAGTGAAAATTGTAGAACAATAGAAACAGCAATCAGTTTTTATGTCGCAGACCAAAAGATTTCAGGAATAAAAAGTATTGGAGACTCCAGGGTATTATATTCATTTATATCAGTCCTGGTGCTTATGAATCTACATCACAAAAGAAAATTGCATAACAACAATATACATCCTAAAATTATATCGACAATCTAATGAAACTAAATAAATATTAATCCATTCCTAGTATTCCAACTGCAACTTAAGTGTATGGTTACACTGATAAAGGACGTAATACTTTATATATATACTTTTAGCTCATGATCTAGAATTAAATAAGAGTCCTAATCCAATATTTACAGGATTGAAATCAGACACTGTAGGACCAGGATAATATTAATTAAAAGACACTTTTGATAATAATAAGAATAAAGGACCTTCTTGGCATAAATCAAGAGTTCCTAAATTAGCTCCTCCTTCAAGGGAATAGATTGTTGGACCTGGAGCTTATGATCATGAAAATTCTATTATTCCTCTCTATAAATTAAATCCTTCAGGCAATTTTCTCTCAAAATCTCAAAGAATTTTTGATCAATAAAAAGGACAAAAAACAAGAGAATTTATGAGAGTTTAGTTTGAAAATTAAAAGAAAAAATTAATGTAAAATCCTGTATTTGCTGATATTGAAGATGAAGATGTTGAATTTTATGATGTATATATATTGTTTAGATGTAGAATGCTACACCAGGACCAGGATATTATATAGGAAATTAAACAACATTTTCTACAGCATCTACATATTCTTAGTCTATGCCAAAGGCTTAAAGTGGTTTTGGTTCAAAATAAAAAAGATTTAATGAATAATAAAGATAGATATAAATGGGACCAGGTGATTATAGAATAGAAACAAATCTTATCAAAAATAACATGGCAATGAAAAATATTCCATTTTTATCTTCAAATACACGTTTTGATAGTAGAGCATTGGAAAAAAAACCAGGACCTTAAAGTTATAATCCTAAAATTACAGTAATAAATATTTTTCTATAGTAGTTAGAAGATAAATTAATAAAGAAATTAGAAAGAGCACCAGTTGGAAAGTTTGGATCAAATTAACCAAGATTTGATGATCCAGAAAATGAATAACCTGGACCTGGAACTTATGAACCTAATTTTTCAGATCCTGCTAAAAGTGCTGCTTGTGTTTTCAAATCTTAAACTAAAAGAAGTGTTATTGGTGGTAAAGATAATATGCCTGCTCCTGGAGCATATGATGTTAAAAATTATACAATAGAAAATTCAACAAAAGTAGAAAAAGAAGAAGATAAAGATCTTATCATCAATAAACCAGGTTTTGGATCTTCCTTACCAAGATTTTAAGAAAAACAAAAAAAAAGTATAGATGAAGAAGATGAAGAAGAAGATGTTTAATTAAAACATAATGCTTCTGATTTATTTTAAAAAAAGAAAAAAGAACATCCAGCATTTAATTGTTAAGTAAAAAATAAATGAAATATTTTAATAGGAAAATAGATTTTAATACGAATAAAAAAAGAATAATCTTCCTGGACCTGGAGAATATTTCGATTAAAAATAAAATCCTTGGGATAAAAAGACATTTAATATTTTATTTTCAGAGATTTGATGTTTAATTTATTCATTAAGTTTTACACTTATAATATCGTTAAAATAAACAATAATCAAAGTTATTCTGTTTGCAATATTTCTTTCAATTATTAAATACTAACGATGCGTTATGAATGAGTACTAAATTTTAAACTAATAAATTTACTAGGTAGATCTTGTTGTGTTTAAAGATGATTAAGAATGAGGTAAACTTACACCTTATAAATTATTATAAATCTTAGCCACTCTTTTTGATGGGAAATTACTTTGTCTATCTGTATGATGAGTTGTTGCTATTACTCGTTCACTTATGTCCTTTGATGGTAAATTTAATTTTGGGATTACAATTGAAGATTAAGGTTATTATTATATAGTCAATTATGATTATTAAGATTATTATTATTATAATTA